GCCCCCAGAGACGAGAGGGAGACCTCTCGACTCTGGGGGCTGGCTGAAAATGCCCCGTGTGGAATCCAAGCAGGATTTTCAGCCATGGAGGATTTTCAGCTCCAGAGTGGAGAAGCTTCAGAAGCCTCTTGACCCTGGGGCTGAAAATCCAAGTGATTCTAAAGCCCTCGCTCACCCAACCTGCACCACACTCCTGCGTCTGCTCCCTGACCCTCCCACATATCCCTTCGCTCCTTCCCCCACCCGGCAGCACCTGGGGCTTGCGACTTCCTGCTGGCCTCCCCACTGACTTGATTGTGGGAAGCCGGCAGGAAGTTGCATCGCCTAATGACCCACGATTCTTGCTTAACAACGGGAGCTGGGAGTGCCAGGATTGTAGTGGCTAAGTGAAGCTGTCACGTGATGATTTGCTTAACCCCATCGCTTAGCAACCTAAATTCTAGTCCCAATTGTGGTCATTAAGTGAGGACTGTTTTAATTAACTCAAATCACTGTGTAATTATCTCGAATTTTGTACTTTGTTTTTGTTCTTAATTATAGGTTATCCATAAACCAGGCATTCTTAACCCAGGGACTACCTGTATTCAAATAAAACCATGCTGCACAAAAATACAGACTAAAACTTCAATTTATTTCCATGGCAGCCAGCTATGATAAACATATTTATCTATTGTCCTTTAATTGTCTTGGAACATAAACTAAGGAATCTGTTGTAACATGACTGTTCCCATTCTTTGCTTTCTTAAAAAGCTGATCTCCTATTTAGGCTTCAGTAAAACTGTTCAAAAAGTTTTTAAAAATATGTATATCTAAGGGACAATATTTGGATTTTTTGATATTAGGTTTATATCTAGGAATATTAATATGACTTACATATATAGGGGTTTATTTGCATGGTAACAATTTAATACTTTTATATAAATTTAGGGGAACAAAAATAATTTTATATATAGTCAATGTATATGAAAATAATTTATACAGTCAAAAATTAAACCGCAGGTGGTAACTCCTAAGAAGTTTTGAAGATGATAGTAAGTCTGAAGTGTTAAATTGGTGTGATTCTCTTAGCCCACTAGATGGTGCTAATTCTAAGTAAATGCACTTTGCATTATTGTTTGCTCCTGATAATTGTTTGTAAATAATTGATTGTTAATATCAGTCAAGATTTGATTTATTAGAGTTATATCCATTGCTTTAATAATATATTTATTGCCTCCTGATGTTATTATGGTAACAGAGTCTATATAAGGCTAATCTGGAAATGTTTTTGGAAACTACACTTTGTCATATTTGTCTGGAGTTTTATAGACTCTGAAACATCTTCATTCTGAGCCAGATTCAAGTTGTTTGTTGTTACATATAAAGATAGGCATTTTACCTGTCTGAAATATTGTCTCCCTTCTAGGTACATTACTGGAATCTCTGTTTTTTAATTTGAGGCTTTGTAATGAGTTTGATGAGGGTTTACAGGAAAGCATGTTGGCTTTTAGATACTAGTAAAACCACATTTTTTCCAGATAGTTTTTCAAAGCCACTCCTTGATTTTAGAGGATTTCTCAGTTTTATAGTATCATATATAATACTGTTTTTAAAAGGGTTTGGGGGTTTTCTGGCAAATTGTAGCATACGTCTTGTCTGTTCACTGAGTAGAAATGCCATATAAAAGCACTGAATTTTTTTAAAATAAAGGATAACCTCAGCTGTCTTAAAATACAATATTAAAAAGCCAAATACAGTAATTAAAATGAATAGTAAAAATACAGCATAAAGGCTTTTTATAACCAAGACAGTGTAAAACAATTAATAACTCAGATTAACAAGCCTATTAAAATAGCATAAATACTGTGCAACAGGTAAAATTGATACTTTATGATTTAGACCAGCGGTCCTCAAACTCTTCAGCTCATCAACCCCTTCATGAAGTTTCAGATTGTTCATCAACCCCCAAACATTTATTATATGAAAATAATATATTTTATTAAGATGGTATTTCATATATATTTATATGAAAATAAATTCTTTAATAGTACTACAAACAATGACAATAACAAAAGAACTAACTCAAGACTGCTCTCGCTGGTGGCTGACCATTCCAACCCTGGGCAACATTGTCTCACCACGCAGTTAGGGGTTAGAAATTCAGGCCTAGGGACTGGCGTGGAGCCCTACAGAGACCCCAAAAGATAGACCCCAATCGACCTTCTATTATTTATCGACCACCTATTGACCCACAGACATTTATCAACCCCTTGGATGATCCCATCAACCTTTGGGGATTGACATTGGCCACTTTGGGGAACCCTGCTTTAGACAAATCACTGTTTGGGGTTAGAAATTCACATGCAGCATGATCTTTATAGTATATGCATCTTTTAGTTGGGGTTGTGTTTCTGCTATTTTGGGGAAACTCATAATGATTAAGCAAAGAATGTTACTGTTTATTAGGACTATGTAGCATGGAGGATATATTTTAGTAGAGGAGATTGGAACAGATAGCCGTTGTCCTTTTTTGCTATTGATTAACAGAAATGCGTATAATCTTGCTTCTGGAGGAGGACATCCAAATATATAATCAGCGCATCCCACAGGAATTCTGATCTCAATTATTCTTGTCCATTCTGGACTATTCAGACATTTTTCTTCAAGGCTGTACTTCTGCTCTGGAGTATCATACTTATCCTATTCTTTAAAAAGCAAAACAGAAAAGAAAAAGAAAAGAAATTGGGTAATACATAATATTTAGAAAGCATTTCTAGTTCTGGACAAAATGTAGTTCTGTGCAAGGTTTACTTTCAAGGTTTAGGCTTGAGTGTGTTAGAAAAAGCATCTAGAGAATTCCATTTTTGATCAAATCCACCGTCTTACAATGCAAGTTATCTATCTGAAACTTAAAAGACTCATTAACTTCCAGTTATTATAAGAAAGTATAATTATTCAATTTCCTCTGAACAGCAATTACAATTCATTTTGTATTTTTGTTTGGCTGAAAGCTGTGCACATGCAGCTGAAGTCAAGATTGGAAATTCCTACTTGATTGTGCCTCCAAGAAATGAAAATAGCCAGATTGGCTGTGCTTTGACAACCCGGATGCCTATTTTTCTTTGATACTTGAGAGGGGAGCATAATGTTCTTGTAATAATATGAGTAAAGCAAGCATGGTTTTGTAAAACCTATAAGGTATGAATGCAGTGTAGCTTCACTCAGTTTAGACTGGTGGTGCAAGATCACTACCAACAATATGCCTGACAAAATACTTGTGCCTGTTCCCATGAAAAAGAACTGGTTAAAAAGCACAGATGAAGATTGTGGGAAATGTTAATCTGTGCCTTAGCACTGACTGAGGGTCAGAACCAGTTCAGTGTCAGTGCAACTAATTTGCAAAACATTTATTATCCTCTACTATTTTTACCACGTTTTACCATGTTTCCCTTTTTAAAATGAGTGAATGTATAGACAATGGGAGCAAACTGGCTGACGCTGTCTCCTATTCTTTCTGTCTTGAGCCCTGGAGAAAACCAAGAAAGGCTTCTGTCTAGACTAGTGAAATCTGTGAAATCCTCACTGTCTCTTGCCTTGATATAATTTATTGGATTTATATCCTATGTCTTCTGTTGGAGCTCAGGACTACTAATAAAATGATGGGCTCTTCCCCTAACTTCCCACTACAAAACCCTCTGAGTAAGGGTGTCCGTCAGATATGATCAAAAAGCGCAACACACATAAAAAACAGGCAGAAATGTGATTGCCCCATCACAGTTGCCCTCTTGACCTTTTTGACCACACCCTGTGGACACCCCTTCCTGTGAGGTTGGTTGGGTGGAAGGAGAAGAAATGGGCTAGAATTACCCAGTAAGCTCTGTGATCATGGGAGACTTGAGTATGGTTTCTCTAGTTCAAATCCAACATTGTAACCATTACAGTGGTTGTCGCTGAAACCCTCCTGCAAAGAGGAAATGCCTTGGAAATAACAGGGAAGCATTACAGTACATTTAAATGCCTCTGACATAATCCTGCACATAAGCCTTTGATCTTGAGCAGCACTAGTATGCTTACTTTTGTACCTCCTCCTTCATTTGGCTTTTTATTTCAGAACTAGTAAGCTTCACGCTGTTGTTTATCCCTCTTCCAAGTGTGTTTCTCATAAAATGCAGAAATGTGGAACTGTGGAACAGCAACACCGAGAAGTCTACATTTTCTTCACCTCTGTCATAAACCAAAGGGGCTGGGGAAGGAAGGAGGCGGAGTATGAAGGAGGCGGAGTATGAAGGATTTCTCTGGAAGACATCATCGTATGAAATCAGATAGTGGTCATGGTAGCACTGTTTAAGTTTAAAGGTTCACCTGGAAGTCAGCCTAATAAATCCCATCATTGGGGGGAGAAATGGCTGATTCCACAGTTACTGGGAGCAAGCTATTAACATTTCTGACACAATGAATGGTCTTCGCAGCAACTGCATGTGTTCGATGGGTACATGTAATCATGTAAACATTACATTTACATGTAATCATGTAAACAGTGTAAACATGTAATTGTAAGCCAGAAGTATGGTTTTAGGTCATATAACGTTACATGACCCAAATCCTACACAAATATATAGGGCATTGGGACTCACCCGGAGGCTCTAGAGTACTGCGCCAGGCCCAAGCAGCTCTCTTCACAAGGTAAGCTGGGTCCTTCCCTGCAAATTGAAGGGTAAGAAAATCAAACCTACTTCTTTTCTCCATGTCTAGGTATGATTGTAGTCTTGGAATCTCTTAAACTGGGCAGAAATCTTTTTTGGCAGCAGAATGCATTCAAAACTCTCTTCTTTGTTAAGTATGCAGCAGAGCATGAAAGAATTGTTTAGGGCACATTATGTTCAGTTAGTAGCTTTGGCCCATTGAGTGCTACCTTAGTTTAGAGAGGTTTTTTCCCCCTGGCTTGTTACAAGGGCAAAGACCCTGAGACCTTGACCAGGTGCACAACATCAGATGTTTAATAATCCTTACTTAGCACAAAGCATGAGTAGGTACAAATGTGCTTCGCATACAATGCCAGTCTTATGGGCTTTCTAATGAATACTACTGTTGCATTATTCTGTTCTGAAAACTAGATTTGTTTTGGCCATGTTTGGCATTATTAAGTTTGTCATAATTTTAAGGTATGTCAAAGGGGACATACTTGGCTGCCCATGCTGTCAGCCCAGTCAAGTGACCCATTGGGGTCAGGATCAGCCCTGCACCTACTGGCCATTTCAGGATGGTCCTGTCATGCCTTCTTTCTTCCAGTCCCAGGAACTCCTTAACGCCACTGTTCTGTTTTTTGGTGGGTTTTTTTTTTTTTTTGCCCCTCTTGATGGATAGAGCTGGGGAGGTGCTGAGTTTTAAAAGCAATTAAAACCGTTCCTTCGACAAGGAACTCCAGCTCTGCAAGTGTGCTGGACAGCTGCCAAGTAGACCTGGGCTCTCCTGCTTTGCAAGGATGTGCAGATTAAGTCACCTGTAAAAAACTGTCACTTCCCTGCGCCTCCTGAACACCGTTTCACCTGCTTGAACAGTTGGTGAGCAGAGCCACTGTGAAGCAGAAACACAGGTCAGGCTGCCTGGCAAAACTTGTTGGCTACCCCAAATCCCACTCCATCTCTCCATTATCAGGATTGGTGGCTCTTTCCTGCCAGCTGGGGACACACAGAACTGGGGCATGGTCACAAAAGAAGAGGGTTAAGCCAATCGCTTTGCTAATCATGCCCTGCGCACATGAAAGCTGAATGTTACTATTCAACAGCATGCCAGATAGATACAACAAGGCAAGATATGGATCAGCAGCAAATGTTATGCTGGTACCACTTTCTATCAACTCAAGGATGGGTGGATAGCAATTTAACTCATGGTGGGGAAAGACCTTATTCCAGTCTAGGTTCTTGTTTGTTTTGAGGAAAGTCAGAGGCTTGGCTGCCCAGATGGAAAACTTACAGTGGAAAGTGTAGAGTAGATACTCTCAAAAGTACTTTCATTGTGTCATCTTTCCATCCCGCCTGCCCAAGCAGCTTTATTCTTTTGTAGTTCCCCCATGCTCTTCCAAAGTTGCGGAAACAGTTTGGCTAGAAGGTGGGCTACACGCTCATCAATTGCTGATAACATACAGATTTCCAGCTGTGAATCGTAGGGAGGCTGTGCAAAGCCTGAGCAAAGCCTGGGTAAAAATTTGGAACAAATAAGGGAAAATTAACTTAGACTGTATCCTGGCAAAACAGAATTCTCATAGACAGGGAGGCCGGTATTAAGAACAGGTATGTGGATCTGGTTCTGGATGAGTTTTCTCTCCCGAGGAAGGAGCTTAGACGTACTTTTAATTGAATATCTGTTCAGAAAACCACAAATGGTAACAGATGCTAAGAGTGCTTTTTATTGGCTTGGTCTTGAATATCACATGTAGTCTTAGTTAGGAAGGTAAACCCAGTCTCAGTTATCCATGCTCTCCAAATTAGTTTGTTGCAATATACTTTATGTCTAAATACTTCGGTCAGTTGAAGCATAGTAGTTTTTTCCTAGTCCATCATCCACTCACCTCACATGCCCAAAGTACGTGCGTGGGTTTCCGATTGCTGATCACCAACTCAAGGAAACAGGCAGTCTTTTTTTTTTCTTTTTTTGGGGGGGGGTCCAGGGTGGATTAGTTGGTTCTTCCTGCAGTCCAGTATCTGCCTCTCGATCCAGAGTTCAGAAGCATCTATCTTCTTTCTCTTGTTCTTTCTGTATCCAGCTTTGTACATGATCATTGGAAGACCATTGCTTTACTTATTCTAATCTCCATTGTCATATAAATAATTAGAATGAATAAAAGAAATCAGCTCAGGAAAAACTGATTTGAAAATTCTGAATACTCATCCTTTAATTTTCAAATGAGCCTTTTGTACCTGAGAAATCTCTCACTTCTGGTTGCTCTTTAAGAAAAAGAGCTGTTAGCACCTAATAACTGTGTTTATAAATGCAGGTCTAATAACTGTCTTGCATAAAAGACTGACTTTTATTATGTATAACTTTTAACACAGAATTTGTAATTGGTGTGCTGATCATATACTGTAGTATCTCTATGGATCATTCATAAGAATATAAAAACCTAACTGGGCAGAGGTGAATGGTCCTTCCTGCTTTGAGAATCTTGGCATTAATAGCAGTGAGAGCAAAGAAATCTTCGTTTCTTTATGGAAGAGTAGCAACACATATCTATAATTAGCTTAATCATGATTTATTCAACCAATTTCCTGGGTTTTCATGATACTAACATGCAGGCTATAGAATTTTCTTTTTTTAAATGCTTCAATGCTCAGAAAAATAACTGAAAACTAAGAAAAGGAAAAGCATGTTACATTAAAAAAAGTCAGCACAACTTTAAACAAATCATTAACCTCTGATCATATGAATAATATTGGTAAGCCTTTCCATTTCCATTCCGATTCCCATTACATTCCAGTCTAGAACCAGTTTATAAAAAGAGAATAAACACATATTAATGTATCATTAACCTGGAACTGCAATCCTGGAGTGGCAATATCTAATGCCGAAGGGTCATCCTTCTAGCTGTGTTCCATGCTCCATACATTCCTAATTCTTGATGTAATGATAAATTCCAAACGTTTGCTATATAATTCAAAAGTTCATTCACAGCTTTGAATTGTAACAATCTTTATAACTCCATATTAACAAATAAATGGATATTACCAAAACTAAACAATAACAACTAGCTCATATCATATGACCAAATGTCTCTCATCCATTTTATCCTTCTAACATAGTGAGTTTGCCACCAATCCTTTTTAAACATTCTCTGCAATGTTAAATAAGCATAAATAAATATGAAATAAGATCTTTCCTTGCATTAATCTCATCTTACCAAACAAAATTAATATTCTTGAAAACCCCTAACCTAGGATTTGTTAATATGGGATATTTCTCCAGTTTATACCAGTTATTTCCATTTCTTGCAAATAACTAATATCTAGTTATCTGATACTATACAGTATACTGGTTTATTTAAAAAATATTGTAGATTTACATTCATCCAAAACACACACCAATATTGGCAATAAATCTGGAGTTTTAGATTCTGCTAGTGCATTTGGAACAAGCTATGTAGCCCAAAGAAGTTTCAACTGAGTATACTGCCATTTTACTATTATAGACAATCCAGATTCCTCTTGCAGTTAACTCACATGGTTTAAATACTTGAGTAATTATATAGTGATGGAGGTGTTAATATCCCTAAAAGCCCATGACTTCCAAAAGGGAAAAAAAACAAGCATTTTCCTGCAATTTTCAAATTGCCATTATGCAAAGTATAAATGTATCATGTGCATAAGGGTCAAAATTACATTTTCATCTCAGCATCTTCCAAATATGCCTCATATCTTTAATGCAGGAAATGGCACAGATTTCTAAAAGAGAGCAAATTAGGGCTAAAATATGGCTGGCTGGTGGTTCAATGTGTTTGTACCCAGCTGTAGTGCTCTGAAGCTCAAAGCATTTTGGGAGCGCACAGGCATGTTTTAAAAATGGATGAGCACTGAGCTTCTTGATCATCTTTCTATCAATAGTGGTATTACTTTATGAACCTAGTGTCAAACAAAGATCAAATGGATTCTATGAACATTGTAAACATAGTTACTTGAAGGGACCGCCTGTCTCCCTTAACATCTGCCCATCTGATTCGATTCTGCAAGGTTAGCATGCTCTGGGTTCCTTCAATTATACAATGTCATCTCTCAGGACCACAGAAGTGTGCCTTCTCAGCAGCATCTGGAACAAGGTTCCCACTGAGATGGCCCCCACTCTGCTGTTGTTTAGAAGAGCCGTAAAGACCTGGCTCTTCACCCAAGCCTTTGGCAAGGGAGAGGGAGACCCCTCACTTCATTGCACTTGCCATCTTTCATCTTTATCTTTTATTAATTTTATTAATTTTATTGTAATTTCTTTGTTTGATTGTTATGAGCCACCTAGAATTGTTGAGAGGCAGGCTTAGTCTAATAAATTATTATTATTATTATTATTATTATTATTGTATACACAACAATGTGAAATCACAACTGCTAGTTCTTTAGCTGGTGTTGGCCTTCATTCGCATTGAGTTCTTCCCAAGAACCTAGGATGTCATAATGTATCAGCGTAATATACGTGCTGATCCAAGTGGTGTGGCCTTTTGTAATTGACAGATGGACATTTTGTCAATGCGCAGATTTTCTAAGTGCCATCCAAGTTTTTTTTGGTATGGTACCCAGTGGGCCAATAATCACTGGGATCATCACTGCCAGTTTATGCCATAATCTTTCAACTTCAGTTTTCAGTTCTTGATACTTTATGATCTTCTCCAATTCTTTGCTTCTATTCTACTAACCCCTGGTATTGCCACATCAATTATCCACACTTTCTTTTCAACCACAGTTAAATCTGGTGTGTTATGTGCCAAAACTTTATCAGTTTGTATTTGGAAATCCCACAGTATTTTAACCTGCT